GCAAGTGTGAGGCCCTCAGTTCACCTCCTGGTACAAAAAAGGAGATAAATGTAACCCCTAAATGAAACATTGCCAAGAGGCATCTGGCACCTTAAAGTAATCATATGCTAACAGGACTAAGTGGCTTCATCCCAGGAGCGCTCAATGCTGGGAATCCACCCAGACACATCACACTCACAGGTCTAAGAAGGAAAGTCCCATCATAGCACCAGCACTGTTGGACCCTGAGTTCAATAACCTTCATGATTAAAGAAAAACAAACCATCAAAGAATCCTTTATCACCACAAAGCAGAGAAGCCCTTTCCAGTTACCACTCAAAAGCTAAAAATCAAACAAAGATAAATTCAGTTACACACACACACACACACACACACACACGCAAAATCCTACATGCTGAAAAAATAACAACAACCTGATATCAAATACAACAACCTGGTATCAAAGTCAAAAGATAAGTTAGACCCCCAATATGGGCAACTTCTATCACAGACAAGGAGAAAGCCTCCAACCTATAAAAGGCTCATAGAAATTAGGAAGGCAAGGCAAACTGCAATTGAAAATAGGCAAAGAATGGGAAGAAACAAATACACCTTCAATATATTGAGTGCAAGAAAGAATATTACACGCAAAAAAAGAAATGTGAAATAAAGTTACACGGAGATCATTTTTACCCATGACATTGGGGAGTCCCCACAAGTGTAACAGGGAACACGGGACAGGATTAAGCAGCACGTGCCTGATGGGAGGGGACAGCTGCTCAATGAGAGCACCACCCGTGCACCCTTCCTCGGAGCAAGCACCCTCCTGGGACCCTGCGTTTCGGATGTGCCTGCCCTCTTGGGCAACGGCATGTGTGCAGAGTTCTTCACTCGCGCTTCCGGCGACGTCAGAACTGTAACACAACCCGAGTGGCCCAGGCAGGAGAACCATTCAATCAATGACGACAAATCCTTGCGCAGAACATCACAGGGCCGTGAAAGGCGGCCAAGATGAGGTGCTCGGGAGGAAGCATCCTGGACAGAACTCCCTTTCGTGTAAAAAGGAGTAAAATGGGAATGTGCGTGTCCCCTTGCTGCTTATTTTCAGAAAGAAAATCTGTAGGGACGCACAAGAAGCTAAGAAGTCTTCCCCAGGGGCCAGCGTGGGTAGCGTGGAAGGGGTGGGGGTGGGGAGGGCCTTTTTAGGGTTCGCCTTTGCCATTTTTGAACTCTATGAATTTACTATCTTCTCAGCAGTTTTAAAAAGTTTACACATATGTTTGAGCATTCGTTACAATTTTTCCAGAAGACTATACTCTTTTGGTGGCACACACAAAGAAAAGAAAAGGACTCTTTCTTGTCACTTTGCATGTTTTTAGGAGTGCTTGGGTTGTTGCTGTGTGTGTGTGTGTGTGTGTGTGTGTGTGTGTGTACGACTACTTAATAAAACACAGTTCATTTTTATTGGTTTAAATATGTGTGGTCACAGTTCTGAACAGACAGAAAGAGGAGTTTGTGCGACTTCCCCCTGGGCATGGGGCAATTGGGACCTTGAGGGAGCATGTGACTCGACAAGCCCATGGTGTAAGGTAGCACAGGACAGGGGCCAGGGTGCAGCATGTGCTTAGCCTGTGCAGGGTCCTTGATTCCACCTCCGACAGCACCCCCAAAAGGACAGGAGCATGAATGAGGTTCTCTCCATCCTCCTTCCTCAGAAAAGAATATGAGGGGTGAATTCTGAGAAATTTACAAGAATGAGCTTTTGTAACACAAGAGACTGAGACTGCCATGGGCAGTGACTTGGCGAGGGGAGCGGGGAAAAGCAAGGGTTTGGTTGGCAGGTGATGTCCCCACAGTGAAGTTCTCCAGGAGAAAGTGAAGAACAGGAGGTGATGCCCTGCCTTTGTAGCCCATCAGTGCCTCCTGTTCAGTGGACTGAGTGAGGCCTGCTCCCCAGAACTTGAAGATAACCTGACACGTTATGGTTTCTGCTTGTTCGACTTTCTGATGGATCACGGGGCCTCTCTGTGTAGGTACAGTGTACCAGAGCCAGCATCTGCATCCGTGGGGAGCCCGGTCCCTCCTGCAGCTTGAAGCCAGGAACGATCCTTGTCTTGATGTCAGGCCTCGGCTCTGCCAGGGATGCAAGGGCACACAGGGGACCCAGTGATCCCAGGTGCTTCTGAAACACCATGGCTCCTACTGAGAAGACACCAGAGGTAGAACTGAGTGTGATGGTGATCACGTGGTGGTGACCATGGAGAGCATATTGGAGATGGTTGTTGGTGTGATGCTGATGTTGACAAAGATGGTGATGGTGGCAGTGATAATAACATCGATGATGATTGGTATTGATGATGGTGATAGTGATGGTGATGTGGTGGTGATGATGATGGTGGTGACTGTTATGGTTTGTGTCTAGTTGTCCCCCCAAAGCCTCATGCAGTCATGTGGCAGACTTCTGGAGCTTGTGATTAAGTCATGATCCACTGGGATTATAGGTGTGAGTGCTGCTGGGATTATGGGTGTGACAGCTGCTGGGATTATGGGTGTGAGTGCTACACCCAGCCTGGGCCAGAAGCCGGAATGCAACATAAGAGAGACCAGCTTGTTCTCTTTAGCCACTTTGGCCCCTACTCCTCCCACTTGCTCTTGCCATTTTGCTCTTTGCTGCAACCATGAATGGATGCTCTCTGCCCTGAGCCACTCTGGCTTGGAACCAGCCGAGTATGGCCTGAAACCTCTACTGACTATGAGCTAAATAAACCTTTCCTTCCTTCATTTTGGGTGTCGGGTATTTGCCCCAGTGATGAGAAAAGAGGAGCTGAGACCGTGACAGTTGATATTGGTGACGGTGGTGACGATAATGTTGGCAAGGCTGGGAATGGCGATGGTGATGGCGCTGGTGAAGGTGATGCTGTGATGTTGGTGACACTGATGATGACAGTAATGACTGTGATGGAGATGATGACAAAGCCAGTGGTGGCAGTGATGATCATAGCAACGATGGTTGATAACGGCAATGATGGTGGCGATGATAGCTAATGTTTGTCGTTAGTCTCCTCTGTGCCCTTTAATCGCATTACTTGAGGTGGAAGACCCCATTTGGAGATAAAGACACAAGTTCAGAGAAGGGATATGAGCCGCCCAGGGGCATTTGGCAAGCAGCCTGGCTCCCAACGTACTTGATAGGACTCATGGCTGGTAGAGTCAGCCCCCCTGACAATACTGCTTCTAAGACTAACAGGGTTCACTTTTCACAGGTTAATTTAATGGGACACCCTGAGGGGTTTAGCAACTGTAATCTGAGGCTGCCTCCCCTCCTCCTCACCAGCCCAGGGATGGACTCCCAAGCAAAGCTGAGCCTGTATCTTAGAAGCAGTGCAGTCCTGGGTGTGACCACCAGGTGGCAGAGCAGCTGCACTGAGCCCTGATACCCACCCCCCACCCTCACCCCCCAGCAATCCCAGGAAAACTGAAAATACAAATTACAAATTCCTTGGCCTGGAAGCAGAGAGCCAGTTGGAGATTCCGGGAGCCTTCTGGCAAATCCGGGAGGGTTGACCTTCTGCCGTGAGCAAAACCTAGGGGTGTCCATGCCTGGCAAAAGGGCAGGGCAGAAGAAACAAATTGTAAAAGCATATGGAAGAAGGAAAGAGGAAGGGAAATTAATTCTTCCTGGACACCTTGATTTTCTGCAGGCCCCTGTGGTCCAGGCCTTTCCGGTTAGGATGGAGGTTTCACCACAAAGAAGGAAGAGCAGGCCTGCGTCTCACGCAGCCTTCAGGCTGCAGGTGTAGACCTGAGCTTTGGCGGATCAGCCCTGCTGCTGGAGCATCCTGAGCTTGAGGCGGCTTGGCGCGCTTCCCCATCTCTCTGACTGCCATTCTAATATTCATAACAAGTTCCTGCGCAGAGACAGGGTGAGAAAGGAGCCTGGGCTTCAAATCCAGCCCTAGAAGCCTGGCTCACCGACTTCCTGGCTGGCCGCCATCCTGGCCGCCTTACCCATACCCCCTGGGAAGGTTCTGGGAAGTTCAGAGTGCAGACACCCGCCCACACCTCTCCCACACTTCCACACTTCTCCCTGGAGCTGACTTTGTCCCTTCACCCACATACCCTGAGAGGTGACTTAGAGCTAGCCCTAATCCTGTATTCTGCTTTTTGGCTGGGGTTTCTTACAAGACAGACTGCCTGGGGGATTGGACAGAATTCAAGCTTTGGTGTCTGGTTTGCATTTGGACTCTGCAGTGTGATCTTGGGCTAGTTGCCTGCCCTCTCTGAGCCTCAGGTTTCTTGTTAGAGGGAGTTAATATATTTCTTCTCTCCTGGGCTGCTATGAGGAATGAGTGAGAGCCCAGAACATGGGCATGCAGCCAGCTCTGAGTGCCAGGAGCATCTGCCACTAAGAACCACAACCCAGGAGGGGCCTGGGATGGCTCCATGCTCTCCACATGGAAGCTAGGCTGGCCTTGGATGGTGGGACTTCGCCAGGTTCTGACCCCTGAAGGGTATCTAAGAGATGCCAGGAAATGGTAGCCATGGTTTCCACCCTTAGGGAGCTTTTCATCTAATTACGGCAATCTGAAACCTCGGAATAGAAGCTTCCAGAAATAGCATGTCTATGAGCAGCCTCCGAGTGTCCCTAGGAAGGTGGTGCTTCTGGATCAGGAGAATCCCACTGGGTGGCCCTCCCACCAGCTTCTCAGCTGAGGAGCCCTGACCCGGTTGTCCTCATGGGTGACATCGGAACCAACAGTTTCCTGACTGAACAGGCCCCAGGTAGAAGGTCCTAGAGGGTCATGACCTAAGGATGAGGTTGCCCAGCCTCCAAGCTGCAGCTCCCATGGGCTCCCCTTGCACCTGAGCCTGGAGCCCATGCTGAGATTAAACTTTAACCCACCCAGGGAAGAGCGGTAGTGATTCCTCCTCCACAGCTGTAATTCAGTAACATCCCAGATTTGCAGCTTACTTTGTTTTTTTTTAAAAGCTGCTTGACTTGACACTTTTGGTGTGGACAACCCAGAGGGAGGCTCGGTCCTCTGAGGTCCTGAGAGTGGAGCTCAGACCTTCTGGGGGGCCGGGGCACAGCGAGCACTCTCGTCCTGATGTCCGCTCCACAGTGTGGGAACATCTGAAGAGCGCTGCAGGAGACAGGATAAAGGAAAATTTCCTCAAAGCATCTGAGGGCAGCTCTGCACTGCCAGCTGGTCACCAGCTAGGGCGAGGCAGTGTGACAGGTCTTGAACTAATTCTGTAACTGGTCATAAGCAGCAGGTTGAGGTCAGGGCTCTCTGACCACCAGGGCCAGCTCTGTGCATGGCATTTGAGGAGCTCTTGGAGCGAGCGGGGGGCGTGGGTCTCTTCCAGGCTCTGCAGGTCGCCACCCTCCTCCTCCCAGCCATCTACACGCCTTTCCAGATGCTCCTGGAGAACTTCTCAGCTGCTGTTCCAGACCACCGCTGCTGGACCCAAGTGCTGGACAATGGCTCTGCGACCCCTGCAAACTTTACCCAGGAGGCCCTCCTGGTCGTGTCCATCCCACTGGGCCCCAACCAACAGCCCCACCCATGCCGCCGCTTCCGCCAACTGCAGTGGCAGCTCCTGGATCCCGTCATGGCTACCAACTGGAGTGAGGCTGCTACGGAACAGTGTGTGGACGGCTGGGTTTATGACCACAGCGCCTTCACTGCCACCATAGTGACCAAGGTAAGGGATGCCCACGCCCCTTCCCAGGTGCCAGGGATGCTCACACACCCTGAATGGGGAAGGTCAAATCACCTCCCTCACATTAAAGAAAGAAAAACTCAAAGACCCCTGGGAAAGCATGGAAGACTATGCAAAACCACACCAACAGGTATAGGGGCATGGGGGCAGGGCTGGCAGCAGTGAGTCTGGACTCAGCTCAAGATACCAACCTGCATTGCATCAAGGGATGGTTGGGGAGTGGGGAATGGAAAGTCACAAAGAGGAGCCATCAGGGGTTCTGGGCTGAACTGGACACTGAGGAATTCATGCTGACACAGGCCCAGGCATCACTTCACCTGGGGGGTGGGTGGAGGATGAGGAATTTCAAGAATGATTAGAAACCAAGGGTGGGGGTTTCTTGTAAATTGATCTACCAGAATTTTTGGCTGAAATTGGATTTTATAAGGAAGCACCTAGTTAGGCCTGAGAGAAAGTTCCAAAGCCTGACAAAAGTTTGGCCAAGGGAAACATTATCATTCAACACATATGTTCTGTATTTATGATGATCCAGGTTCAGATTTGGGCTGGAGCTAGAGGATGGATGAGGTCTCAGGGGATGACCAAGCCACTCAGCCCATGCTCAACAGTCACAAGGGCAGACCCCCCCCCTCACTGGCACCTCTGAGGTGGCTGGCACTATTCCACACCTTGCTCTCAGGTCCTGACGTCACCATGATCACGTGGGTGCTTCCTATGATGGCCCCTATATAGTAAGGGAAGGAAGATGTCAGATGTGCTTGTGGGAAAGGCAGGTCAACAGGTCCCTTGTCCCCCATGACCTGTCCCTAGGAGCTCAGGGACCCTGTGGAGTGACTGGACTCCAAGAACCCGGGCCAGCCAGGTTCTTTCCAAGTGGCCTTGCACCTGGCTCTCCCTCTGCCACCAACCCCACTATGTTCTGTCTCCTGAGCAGTCTCTCCTCCTCTTTCAGTGGGACCTGGTATGTGACTCCCAAGGCCTGAAGCCCATGGGACAATCCATCTACATGGCTGGCATCCTGATGGGGTCTTTCATCTGGGGCCTCCTGTCCTCCCGGTAAGTATCCGCTCCCTTTCCTGCTCCCTAAGATGGAATAAAAAAAAAAAAAAAAAAAAAGATAGAATCAAGGATTGAGAGGACCAAAGGCACAAGGGTGTCTTGAGAGCCCCTGTGTCCCCTAAGAAAGGTCTCCCACCTGTCACCAAGCCCCAATGGGACAACCACTCTCAGAAACCTCAGGAAGCCTCAATGCCCACTTTGCCCTGAGGGAGGAATCAATCCTGGAGGGGATCAACCTCCAGCTATGTGCTGAGCACTGAATGCATGCCAGGCCTTCTGGGAGAAGCAGGCTATGACAGAGAAACACAGGACCTGCAGGGGAAGGATAGGGCTAGACCCATCCTGGAGGCTACGAGGGCTTGTCTGAGGATGGTGGCTAAGACAGGACTTGGCAAAGGAGAGAGGACACAAGAGAATGCAGGTGTGGACAGAGGCTAAGTCATTAAACCCTCAGGGACAAATGACATCCATGTATCATGTGACCCTGAGAGGTAGACAAAGGCCAAGTCTTAGAGGTTGAGCAAGATGCTCTGTCTCCTCAGACCCCAGCCCCAGTGTCCTTCGCTCAGCGATGGCCTTGCCTCATGTGTCCTGAGAGGGAGCCCTCATCTGCCCTCACTCAGCACCAAACCAGCATCAAGCTGAGTGCTCCTGGTTCGTGCTGGGAGAGCTGAGGCTGGCCCTATGTGTGGACCCCAGGCCCACTGACACTGGCCTCCTTGCCCTCTGCCTGCTCAGTCTTCCAGGCTGCTCCAGGTCTCCGCAGCCCCATGCCTGGCTCCCCGTAGTGAGGCTGCATAGGGCCATCTCCCAGCGCCTCACATCCCCAGCCCCTTCCCCTGACATGTAACTGCCCTCAGCCCCCTACCAACCTTTCTCCTGCCCCTTGGTCCCAGTGTTAAGGCCTTGCTGGATGCCCCATATGGGTCTGGGGTCCAGGGATACTCTGACCCCAGCAGGGAGGGGTGAAGAAGGGGCAGGTGGAGGGGGAACCAAGTGCCCACCATGTGAGGGCAGAATAGCAGGTTGGATTGGGAGCTCCTTGGAGGATCAGGTGGTCGGTGGTGATCATGTGCTCACCAGGGGGATGAAAGGAACATTCTCTGCATATCCCTCCTTCCTTTGCCTTCCGCAGCCTCCCTGCTTCTCCTGATCCCTCTCCTCCCAGGGAACTCAGCAGAGCCCTTCCTGCTCCCAGTACCCCCTGGGAGCTGTCTAGCCAGGTCTTAGCCCAGCACCTTCTCCATGCACCTTCATGTGAGGCATGGCAGGCTGAGGATTTGGCTCAGAGGTAGAATGCTTGCCTAGCAAGCTGGAAGCCCTGGGTTCGGTCCTTGGCACCAAAAACAAAATATTAAAAAAATAATAATAAAAACTTGCCCTTTATGTGAGGCAGTGCTACCCAGTGCTGGTGACACCAAAATTGTACCCGCCTGCAGATCATCCATCTACTGGGCATCTCCACCTAGGAGACGGGAGGCAGCTCATGTCTGTATGGCCAAAGCAGAGCCGCTGACTCCCCTTACCCTACCCTCGCCCCCAGACTCCATTCCCAAGAGCAGCCAAGCTCCCCACCCCCAGGAGCAGAGAGCTGTCCCCTACCCTCCTCCCTTCCCCTCACATCCCCGGGCCCTTCCTCCATGCTCTCCTCTAGCCTGGACAGCTCTGCCACTGCCCCTGATCTGGCTGCCATGCTCAGAGGGACTCTGCATGGGCTTCTACGTACAGCCGGTCTACAGCACCCCGGGGGCCTGCAGCACTGAGAGCCCAGCTGTGCTGGTGTCCTGGGTGGGCACTTGCCAGACCGACCTGCCCAGAGCTGCCTCAGCCATGTCCTTCTCAGAGGAGCCTCCTGGGCCCTGACTGGCAACTGGCCTGGCCCGAGCACAGCCACCCACTGGCCCAGCCCTGCTTCCCTCATTGAGAAGCTTTCTAGCACATGACCAGGCTTGCTCAGTCCCTATGGGAGGTGAAAACCCAAGACTTTGGGGGTCAGTGTAGCCCCTAGCGAGCAGCAGGGACTCAGGCATGGCTCTGCAGAGGCCCACCTGCCTCCCAGTGGTGTCTAGCTACTATCTGACTCTACCCACCACCAGGGTCCCCACAGAAGCCTGGTCCTAGGCAACAGTTTCTTCCCTATGCCTCAGTTTCCTCCATCTATGGGGACTGTCACACGTCCCGTGAAACTATCATGAGAATCTGCTGCTGGTCCTGGGAGTCACCCATGGGGGACTCCATATCACTTTGGCTTTCTGGACCGCTGTGTGAGTCCCCTTTAGTCACCCTGAATCCTGGGCCAGGGTGCTCGACATATATGGGACAAAGCCAAGTCCCACCGCCATCTCAGTCTGGCCAGCACACATGTTAGTTATGTTGACCACAACCAGTTTTCAGCTAAGCCTGGAGGTCCCAGTGGCACAAGGAGTGGCACAGGCTGTATGATCCACATGGGTCCCCTGGGACTCCCTGTCCCAGGCACAAGGCTAGACAGAGCTAGTTTGCGTGGTCTCAGGCACTTGGTCTCCTTGCTCCCCTGCCCCTTTCCCAGGGTCTTCACATTCACAAACCTGCACTCCATGAGGCCCAGTGTTAGGTGCACCCGCTCATATGCCCAAGGTCACCAGGAAAGGCAGGGCTAGACTCAGACCAGGCATGTACTCCAGGGTCCTGGGAGCAAGGCATCTGCCACTGTGACAACTAAGGCTCTATGTGGGCTCTGAGCAGCTCTGTGACAGAGGAGCTGTCCATCCTGGTCTCTGTTGCCAAGCGGCAGTGCACATGTCCTGTGGCCCAGGCCTCACCAATGCCTCCATGCTCATCTCCATAGGCTTGGGCGGAAACCAATGCTGAGCTGGTGCTGCCTGCAGGTGGCCGTGGCTGGAACCAGCACTACATTTGCCCCGAACTTCCTCATCTACTGCGGCCTCCGGTTCCTGAGTGCCTTTGGACTGGCTGGCATCATCCTAGTGTCGTCAACCATGAGTGAGTCCCTCGCAGGGGTACCTGCCAGGGGGTGGGGGGCAAGAGGGGATGAGCCCTCACCTGCACGTCTGCATGGCCTTACAGTGGCAGAGTGGACCACTACCCAAAGGAGGGCTGTCACCATGACGATACTGGGATGCACCCACAGCATGGGCCAGATGGTCGTGGCAGGCCTAGCCTTCACCCTGCGGGACTGGCAGGACCTCCAGTTGGCCGTGTCCGTGCCCTTCTTGGCCTTCTCCTTGGTATCTTGGTCAGTGTGGCTTGGGGCTTACTCCAGTGGGAGACATTGGGGGGTCTTTGCCTCCCACTGCCCTGGAGAGCAATGGCTGGAGCCAGACCCTCCCTGGGGACAGCCAGTGGCCACTCCTGGGGGAGTGTCAGCCCAAGGCCTGTGGCTCCCAGCCAGCCTGCTCAGGCATCCATCTGCCGGCACAGCACTGGCTCAGTGGTGTAAAATAATTTCAGTAATGTCAAGAAAACCCATTTGTAGCTAGTTGCCAGAATTTGAAACTCAGGAGGTATTTTAAAACAAACACAGATGAACAATGTTCCTTTTCTAGAAACTGGGGAGCACTGGGGGCACCAGGCCAAAGTCTGGCAAAAATCCAACAACAACCCCTGTTCCTCCCACATGCTGGTGCCATCCCCACCCACCCACCTCACTCCTTCCTGTCACTTGGCATCCAGGTCAGTGAGGACCAACGTTGGATATGAAAATAGACCACTGTCACTGTGTTTTTTGGTGCTGCAAAAATCCCTGAGGCCTGGAAATACCTGCCTGGATGGAGGCAGTGGAAAGGGATGAGGGAGATGAATGCAAATCAATGTCACTGTAGTTTTCTTGTGTCCCTGAGCTGGAGCCAAGCAAAGCCAGCCAGATAAGCCTACTGTGGGGGTGCAGAGGACAACAAGCGCTAGTGCATTCATTCTCAAATAGTTACTGAGCTGCTGCCCCAGGCCAGACATGGCTTTGGGCTTTGGACATGCACCAGTGACCAAAACAAACAAAAAGCCACCAGAAATGTGGAATTTATATTATATAAGCAGATCAATACCCGAGGATGAAGGCCATCCCATAATCACACGTATTAGGCCACTGGGTCACACAGGTCAAGACTGGATATAGTCAGAACACTAGATGTGTATCCACGTCTTAAGAGGAAGAAGGTGGTTTTATTACCGCCCTTTTCAAATGGAGGACCGAGGCTCAGAGAGGTTAAGCTGCTTGTTCAAGGTCACCTGCTGGTGAGTGCCAGGGGCAGGATTTGAGCCCTGGCAGGCTGGCCCTCTCAGCGGCTGTGTCAACCTGCCTGGGAAAGTTCCTAGCTTCTCTGCAAACAGGGCTGAGCCCCAGTGCACTAGGCAAACTGCCTTTCACTAGGGCAAGGCCTCGGTGGGCCCATCCATGTGGTGAGGGAAGAGTAGGCTGCTGTACTCACCCAATTCTGCCTAGGGTGGTTTTAAATATGAAAAAAGCACACAAAAGAACCTACAAAAACCTTAGCCCCATGCAGCCTTCCTATCACTGAAATGGCAACTATTGGAGAGATGGCTACTCCAGGGACACCCCTGCCCAGCCAGTCTGTGCCGGGGCTGAATGTGTGGTTTGGGGGAGCAGGCTCTTGGCAGCCAGGGAGGCCAGCTGGAATGACATGGAAGAAGGGTTGGAACTCTGCTCTGTTCCAAGCCTCCCAGCCTGTTGAAAGAAAGCGCTGCTTGCTTTCTCTGTCTCATTGAGCTAGAGGCCCCCCCCACCCACTATCTCTTCCCCCAGGCCTGGGAAACACAAGACCACAAAGTCCCAGCCACACTCCTGCTTCTGCTTCTTTAACAGGTGGTTACCAGAATCTGCCCGATGGCTGCTTATCACAGGCCGACCAAACAGAGCACTTCAGGAACTCAAAAAGGTGGCGAGGATAAATGGCCACAAGGAGGCCAAAAAGACACTGACCATACAGGTGAGATGCTGCTTTTCATAACCCGGAGTGTGACTCAACATGGGAAAGGACATCCATGATGTGTTACTGCCCACCCATCACCATGGCTTCGTCAGCTCTGCCATGGCCTCAGCACAAGTGTCTCTACAAAACACCGACCCTACTCCCATCACTGTCACCATCACCACAGTAAGAATAGGACTAGGGGCCGGGGAGATGGCTCAGTAGAATAAGTGCTTCCCTGGCAAGTGCAAGGGCCTGAGTTCAATCCCTCATTCTGCAAAAAAAAAGTCAAAAGAATAGGACTGTTTTCCGTACCCCCAACTGTATCACAACCATCCACACCCACCATCACCACCATCATCACCATCGTCACCTCCACAATCAATTTCATCTTCATCAACACCACCAGTGTCCTCACCATGCGCATCTCTACGACCACCCCCACCACCCCCACCACCCCCACCCCCACCATCCTCTCCATCACACTGTCTCACCAGTCATGACGATACCTCTGTTATCACCAGTGTCACAGATGCCCACCACTCATCCCACGTGCCCCGCGCACCTGCTTCTCAGACTCCTCAGTGTATTTGGGGAAACAGAGTGTGCTTATTTGAAGGTAGCTATTTTGAGGAAGCAGGTGTCAGATGGAGGATGTGCTGCCAGAGATGAGAAGACACTGCTTTTCGGAGTGGGGAGGATGAGGAAGGCTTCTAGGAGGAGGCAAGCTGAGCTGAACTCCGAGGTGCAAAAGCACCGGGTGGGCACCTGGGGAGTGGTGAGGAGGCCACTTGGCCTGAGCGGGCATGCCCTGGTGCCAGCTCTGAAGGAGGAGGAGGGATGGTGGGGCATTGTGTGGTGCCTCCCACGAGTAGCCTCCAGCTCAGTGACCAGAGCAGAGACACAGGCCCCACCTAGGCTTGTCTTCATGGTCCATGCCTGCAGAAGTCAGGGGCCTAGAAAAAGGGGTTCTTCTTCCTCATACTTCCTCCACCCCTGGGACCACCAGCATCCAGAGGCCAAAGCCAGGCTTCCTCATCACTCTACCCCCTTGACACCATTCACCGGCATAAGACAGGGGAGGACAGCGGTCCCAACATTCACTGTGTCCCCATTCTTCCTGGAGGTGCTGATGTCCAGCATGGAGGAGGAGGCTGTCTCTGCAAGGGCGCACCACTCAGTGTTGGACCTGTTCCGCATTCCCGCGCTTCGCAAGACAACCTGCACCATGCTGATGGTCAAGTATGCAGACCCGTCAATACCCCTGACCACTGGGCTGTGGCCAGGGAATGTGGCACTCTCAGGCCTGCCATGCCCTGGAGGTTAACAGGCACTAGGTGCCTTCTTCCCCCTTATAGTGCTCCATTTCATAGAGGGGACCTAGTGGGGACCCCATCATGGAGCTATCTGGGGATCCAGGCTGTGATTGGGGTGTCACCCACCAGCCTGCCCGGAGAAGGCTCTGCCCAGGTCCCGGGGGTTCCCAGGTCCAGTAAAAAGCTGGAATTCAGCCCCAAAGACAGACAAGATGGCATATTAAAAATGATGTTCAGAGTTTACTGAAACTTCATCTCAAAGCTAGATCAGGAAAATGTTTATTTTACGATATATTTAACCACCAATAGGTTATTATAGCAGATTATTTGCTACATCTCTGAACAAAGAAAGAGATCAAATGCTTTTAAAATCTTTTTTATTTTTAGCCTAATTTTTTTTTTCTGATAAAGGAGACCAACATCCAGGGCCACCCCATCCCAATTAAAGTCCTTCCTGATTCATGGTTTATCTGGGGGTACGTTTGAGCATTGTTTATTTTCAAATTAGAGGCTTGGAAGCCCTCACTCTGTTGGTTCTTGCTTCCATCCACACTGTATGCACTGGTGGTGCTGAGTCCCAGCCAAGCCTGGCCTCCCTTGTGTGTCACCTGGGAGAACATCTTGAAAGGCTGTGGGACCTCCGTGGCTGCTCCTCCTCCTGTCTGCAGTAGTCACCGAAGCTAGGACATCAACTGGAGAAACAGTCCAAGAGCTGAGTGACTAATTAAGCAGGGAAGCAGGGGCACAGATTTTAATAATGGTGGCAAATCATTCACTAGGGAGCCATATGTAAACCTGAATTCCAGCTCCAAACTGCAAATTCAGATACTCTAAGTTCAGCTGCACAGGACCTTGGGGATGGAATACCCCATCGCAGCAGAAAATAGACAGGAAGCAGGGGCTAGAGCTCAGGTTCTGGCCTCTGCAGACTTGTCATGGGATGCTTTCCCCAGCTGCAAAGCACTTCTAAGGGCTGGGCATCGGGGGACAGAGAAAGCCCTGCCCCTCCTCTGTCATCCAGAAAGGAAGAGAGAGCAGGAATCTTTCTGGAAATCAAGCCAAGGGACCAGAGTGGTCTAAAGGAACAGCTTAATATGGCTTATAGAGACCCCCCAGAACAGCGGGGGGGCCAGCCCAGAGAGGGTCGCATCTTCTAGCTGACCTACACATGTGTGGACAGGCTCTTGCTTCCCAGCCCTTTCCTTGAGTGAGCCTGACCTGGGCGATGCATCCTGCTTTATGCAGTGTCCATGGATGTCTGGCCATGATGAGCCATGTAGGGCTGTCCTTTAAGACAACCTGCTTGAGGTAGGGCTGGGCTGGGGTTCCTCTCCCATGTACAGGACAGAACCTTTGGCTCTGTCCCACAGCTTCTCGGCACAGATGTCCTATTATGGGCTGGTCCTGGACTTGCAGAGCCTGGGCAGGGACATCTTCCTCCTGCAAGCCCTCTTCGGGGCCATAGACTTCCTGGGCCGGGCCACCACACTCCTGTTGTTCAGGTACTTCGGCCGCCGTGTGATCCTGGCTGGCTCCCTGGCCCTGGCGGGCTCTTGCATCCTGGCCAATGGGCTGGTGCCTCAAGGTAAGCGAGGGCCAGGGCCTGCCATCCTGCCCTGCCCCAGACCTCTTTCCTGCCTCTGCCCCTGGGAGCCACAGCCACCTTGTGCCAGCTCTGCCCAGTCTGTAACTATCACAACCTCTGCTGCAATCTAATCCCCTCCTCCACAGTCATATCCTGCCCCTTTTCCTGAGGTTCAGAGAGGTGAAGCAGATGTCCAAGGTCACCCATCTGGTGTGTGACAGACCAAGACTTGGACCTGAGGGGACAGGAAGAGTATGGAAGGCTGGCTATTCACAACAAGGCCAAGAGGGAGAGAGAAAGAGAGAGAGAGAGAGAGAGAGAGAGAGAGAGAGAGAGAGAGAGAGAGACCATCTCTGTGTGTGTTCACACCCATGCACGTGCATTTTCTCACTGTTAGAGCTGCAAATCACTGGTGTCCAGAGAGCTTGGGAGGCTTCAGAAGCCCCATCTTACCTTTCTTCTTGCCCTAAATCTTCTCCAGGCCTCCTTTAAAAAAAAAAAAATTTAGTACAGGGTCTCACTACACGATCAAACTCCTAGTGATTCTCCTATTTTCAGCCTCCCAAGCACTGGGGTTGCAGGTGCGCACCACCATGCCCAGTCTCAGTGGGCCCTGGGCAGGGGCACGCCGATCCCTGTGCCTGCCTAAGCAGGCACTTTAATCCGCTGAGCTATCTGGCCTGCCCCTCCAGGCCTCCTTTTATCACTCAGGGTTAGAGATTGGGGACAGGGGACAAAGTCAAGAGGAAAACAGGAGGCTGCCCTGAAGTTAGCAGTGGGGCATGCTGAGCAAGGTGAAGGGTGACTGTGAACCCCATAGGCCACAGCCCAGCCCCACCTCCCCAGGCTGGCTGCCACTGGTGGCTGCCTTGAGTGCACCCCACTCACCTCTTCCTCTGCCTAGATCTGCAGAGCCTTCGCGTGGCCCTTGCTGTGCTGGGGAAAGGATGCTTCGGTATCAGCCTGACCTGCCTCACCATCTATAGGACAGAGCTCTTTCCCACTCCACTGCGGTAGGTGGGGAGGGGGACTGGAAGTGGAGGGGCTGCAAGAGGCCACGGTGGGGCAGGGGAGGAACCTGAGAGAGACATTGTGGGAGGGCAATTGGGGGGTACAGGGCAGGGATCCGCAGCTAGGATGGGGGAGAGGCTTGGCTGCCCTCCCAAGGAAGGCAGAGGCCCAGGTGCAGGTGGCTTCGAGGGCATTCCTGCACGGGGTGCAGGAGCCCTCAGAGTGTCCCAATGTGCACCTTGAAATTCTTTCAGGTGAAACCTTAAAAGAACACTGGTAGCTAGGCATGGCGGTGCATGCCTATAGTCCCAGCACTTGGAGAGGCTGAGGCAGGAGAACAAGTTTGAGCCAAGCCTGGACAACTTAGCAAGACTCTATCTCAAGAAAAATAAATAAATAAGAAGAGCTGGGGTTATAGTTTAGTGCAAAGGATCTGGGTTCCATATCCAGTAGTATGAAAAATATGTACTATATAAATAAGAGTCCTGGTGAAGAGACTAAGAGCTGCCCAGGTGGCTGGGGGCTCCTGCCCACTTTCCCCTGCCCGCTCACGCCCCCAGTCACCTCACCTCCTCAGAAACCAAAGATTCTAGGGAACGCAAGGGATGTATGTGTTCACCACAATTAACAGCAAGGTAAACTGAGGCTTGGAGTGACGGACTAAGCGGAGGGTGGCCTGGGCCACCTGCCATCGGCTTTAGCCCAGCTTTCTTCTTCCTGCTAGGTACACACTCCTTCCCTCCCTTATCCATTCTTTCTGGCATTTTCTGATGACATTTACTGGCTTTGTGCTCTCCTAGGGAGCCTGGGCCCCCAGTGACCCTGACATGCCGGGGCTCTCAAGAGTTCCCCCAAAGCCCATATGGGAAATTGCAGGCAGGACCCAAGGATGATGCCTTGAGAGGGCAGTGCCAACCAGCTCCCTGCCCCCTCCCGCCCCTCCTCCACAGGATGACGGCAGATGGCTTCCAACAGTCGGTCGGCCGCTTGGGGGCGATCGTAGGCCCCCTGATCCGGATGGCCCGCCAGGCCCTGCCCTTGCTGCCTCCACTGTCCTATGGCATCATCCCTGTGGCTTCCAGCCTGGTTCTCCTGCTCTTCCTCCCGGAGACCCGGGGTCTTCCACTGCCCGACACCATCGAGGACCTGGAGGGCCGGTGAGTGGGTGACACAGACGGGACTCCCCGGCTCAAGAGCACGGAGTACGGAGGCTGGTGATCCCCAGTCCATCGTGTCTTTACAAAAACCTGCCGGAAAGACACCACTCCCACCTTACAAGTGGAAAATCTGAGGTGGGAGGGATGAGGTGACTGTTCCCTGGGTAGAAGACAGGACAATGTCGTGGCTGGGGCTGCTGCTCAGCCACCGCTTTCCTGGGCAGGTTACCTAATCTCATTCACCAGAACTGGCTCCAGAGACCCAGAGAGCCTGGCTGCCCTGGGCATTCCCAGAACCCAGGCCCAGGTTGTCTCACTACTCATTTGAAGGAACAGAACAAAGGGGAAGTTCCCTGGCTCAGCAGCTTACCAGGACTCCACTGTGTGCCTCAGCTACCCATATATAAACTGAATGTCCTGCCTATTCATCGACTTGTTCTCAGGCTAATGTGGATTGGCAGACAAAGGCTGTGGACCAACATGCCCCTGTGCCTGCTGGGTCCTGGGGGAGGGTGCCCGTGGGCATGCCTCCAGCTGAGCGGGAACTAAGGAGGGCTAGTGACGACAGTTGACTCTTGGTGAGGCCTTGCCCCTGTCACACTAAGGGGGTATCTTATCAAAACATACATTAGCCCCACAAGGTCTCGAATGTTTGATTTCACTGGAAAGGGAGTTGAGATACAGTAAAGCTAGGAGGAAGCTGGCATTTTTTTTCTTTCATTTAATTTAGATCAGTCTGTACCTACTACATGTCAGGCACTGTGCTAGGCTCCGGGTATTCAGGGGAGAATAAACCCTAGCATCATAGAGCTCCCATTCCTATAAGACCTGATGCTAGCTCTGCCTCCCAAGCAGCCAGCCCTCTCATCATGTGTCTCTTTGGATTATTCTAGGAGATCGGCTACAGCTAGAGGCCACCAGCAAGAGGTGGTCATTATGGAAAGCACCTGGTTCTAGAAGATCTACCTTCATGGAGCCCCTTTGACCAAAAACACTAGAAGAAAAAGTTGCTTCTCCTCCAATCTGAGGGTTCCAGAGAAGTGGGCATGCCCAGGGCTGGAGGCAGGGCAAGGCAGGTGGTAGAGCTGTCTCTGAGGTAGCTCCCCCTACTCACCCCTGTAGGAGCCTGTGTCAGGTGGCCACACCCAGCCTGGCTGCCTTCAGTCAGCTTCGCCAACAACACAGGTCCTCTGCCTGCCAGGGCCACATCCTCGTACCTGCACTCAGCCCCTCCAGTTCAAGAGAGAGTTCCAGTCTCACCTCCCCACTTACGGAGCTCCCATTGTAAACTGGAAATGCCCCTGAAGCCTCTGTCCCAGGGTGGCTACCCGAGCTCACTGATGTTTGCACATGCTGCAGTTCATTAAATGAGGTTGTCAGCAGAGTGGTCAGATACAGGTGTCTAGGTTGTGTCCCAAGACACCCACCTAAGGAGATATGCAGGGTCTGCAATCCAGCGCAGCCTCTCTGGCTCAGCTACCTGCCATGCAGGAGCTGTGTCCTTTCCAAGAAAAGAGCTGCTTTGGTCATCTGCTATTCACCCCTCGATGAAGGAGGCTTTCCTGCCCTGGGCCCCCAGGATGGCCACACACATGGCCCCGCACTGGACAGAAGAGATTGACAGTAGCTGGTCACATACTCATAGCCCAAAGAGGCTAACACTGTATAGAGACACACAGGGGCTGCCCTCAGAGCAGAGAACCACCAGGGGGCGGCTCTTGTGGAAGGGTGTGTGTGGGCAGGGAGTGGATCCCCATGTGGATAAGGATAGTAGGAACTGCCTTCCTTCTCTTCTTTCTGATGCCCCTTCTCACATCCCATGCATACCAGGTTAATTTTCCTCCACATAGTTTCCCAATACATCTATTACTTCTCCTTTGCTGTGGCTGCCATCTTGGTCCATGCATCTGGCAGCCAAACTGGTTCCTGACACCACTGTCCTCCACACAACAGTCACCTTGTTTATTTAGAAATACAATTCAAGCCAAATCCCCTCTTTGCTTAGAATCTTCTAGAGCTCATAATAAAATCCCTCTTCTACCCAGTGAAGGTCTGGGTATAGTACTTGTGGGTGGCTAGCTTTCTTTGACATATAATAAATTTTAAAGGATTCAAATCGTATGAAGATTGTCCTTGGCAAATCATGGAATTGAACTAGAAATCAGTACAAAAAAAAAAAAAAAAAACATCCAGAAAACCTCTTACAACCAGACAATGTGGTTCTAAAGAATTCATCAGTCAGAAAATAAATCAAAAAGGAAATATGCTTAACTGGATAAAAATCACAAGAAGACATTAAAATCTGTGAGATGAGACTAAAGCAGCGATTAGAGGAAAAATTATATCGTTAAAGCACCTATGTTAAAAAAAAAAGCCTATGTTAAAAAAAAAATCTTAAATGCCTCAGCTTCACCCTTAAAAATAAGAAAAACAAAAATGAGTTAACATGCACTAAACAGTAGAAATGAAATAATAAATCAGAGAAATTTAAAAAACAAAGTTTTTTGAGATTAATAAAATTTATAAAAATTTATAAATTTTTAGCCAGCACAGAGAAAAGACACCTACCAACAATATAGAGAACAAGACAGGAAGCATCAGTACAGATCCTACAGACATCATAGAAATTACAAATAATTTTGTTGTTGTTGTTGTTGCTTTAGTGGAACCAAAGATTGGGACTCAGCCCTTGCGCTTGCCAGGCAAGCATTTACTCTACTGAGCCATCTCCCCGGCCCCATGAATAATATTTTATCAATACAATCAACAACTTAGGCAAAAATGTACAAGTTTCTTTAAGAATGCAGTGTCCAGGGCTGGCCAGATAGCTCAGTGGGCTAAAGCATCTGCTTAGGCAGAACCCAATGGCCAGGGTTCAATGCCCAGTGTGCTGTGCAGACCCCGGCCCCAGGACGCGCTGAGATAGTGATGGAGACTGAGCATGGTGGCATGCACCTGTAATCCCAGCAATTGGGAGGCTGAAAATAGGAGGATCACTTCGAGTCTGACCTGCGTGGTGATACCCTGTAGACGCTCTACTAAATACATAAAAAAAATGCAATGTCCAACCTCACTCAAGAAGAAATATATAATCTTATTAGCTCAAAATCTATTAAAGAAATTAAACTTATGGTTGAAAACCTTCTCACAGAGGAAACTCCAGACCTGGATAGCTTTACTGGTGAATTATGTCAAACATTTAAGCAAGAAATGATAGCAGTTCTATGCAAATTCCTCCAGAAAATTTTTTAAAAGGTAACAATTCCCAATTCACTGTACAAGATCAGCATTACTCTGATACCAAAACCAGAAAAAAGATATTACAAAAAACCCTGTAAATTTACATCTCTTGTGGGTACAGATACACAAAAGGTCTCTCAGAGCTAGGGATCCAAGGGCCCCGTTCATGTTATGTCAGGACTCCAGCACTGAGCAGTTCCCCTAGCCCGAGATACAAAAGTTCCCAACAAATAGTTACCAAGTGGAATCTAATAATATATTGGGAAAACACATTACGACCAAATGGACTTTATGCCAGGGCACAAGACAAAGTTGTCAAGGTTAAAAAATTAAGTCATTAACAAACTAAAAGTATTAACAATAGCTATAGAATGAGCATTTAACAAAATATAAAGCCCAATGCTGATAACACTTAGCAAACTAGTGTTGGGAGTACATTTCCAGACTCAACTTCTCAGTGCAAATAATAAAACACTCAGATACCAAGAAATCTCAACAAGGCTTTTTACTTCCACAGAAGAGCACAGACACACTCGGGTATGAGGGAGCAGGCATGCAGAGCAAAAGAGGGCAGGCTCTTTTATCCCTAAAATAGCTGGCCTTCTTCCCATTGGTTGGTTTGAAGGGTCACAATTTGTCTCAGTTGGTTAGTGTGAGTGATATGAGACAGGAACCTGGAGGATGACTGGGCAGGGTGGCTAGGGGAGGGGAGAGTGGGTGTGTGGGTACCGAGAGTCCCTGGCTACTGGGAAGTTATCTTTAAGCTGTGCTCCCAGAATCTAAGCTGAGCAGATATTTTCAGTAATTCTGGTATGAGAGAGGTACAGCCTAAGGGGAACTAGAGTTTAATATGGAGGCACTGCAGTTTATATCCTTTGATAGAAAAGAAAGAAACAGAAAACACCTTGTTTCTTTTATTATTATTATTATTATTTTAAAGAGTAAAAACAATGATACAAAATTTCAAAACAAAACAGTAGGAAAGCAACAAGGGCTAGTACGTTGCTTACTGTTATTTTCAAAGTAGTTGCTCAGATAAGACCTTGTTTCTTACATTAGGAATCACAGGGAATTGCTGCTACCACCAGATAACATCACCTTTTTGGGGTAGAAGACTGAATGCTTTTCCCTAAGATCAGGAATGGGGCTAAGACGGCTGCACTCGCCACTTCTATTCAACATTGGACTCTGTATAAAGCAAGAAGTGTAGATAAAAGGCATGCAGATTACATGGGAAGACATACGACTGTCTTGGTTTGCAGCTGTCTTAACTGCACATTCCTAGGGAAGCCATTAGAACTAATAAGTGAGTTTATCAAAGCTATAGGACTTGAAGTCAATGGAGGGAGATGTATTGTGTTTCTGCGTACCAGTAACTACCAGACACCGAACATTTAATACAGTACCACTTAACAACAGCATAGTAGAAAAAGTGACATGCTAAGGATGAATTCAGCATAAGAAAGACAAGTCCCATAAACTGGAGACTACAGGATTCTGCTGTGAGCTATTAAACAAGGCCTAAACATTTAGAGAGACGCACCATGTTCAAGGGTAGGAAATCTCAGAACTTTTATGTTGACTCTCCACAATTTAATGCAGAGAACCAATGGAATATCAATCAAAAGGCCAATATAAGTTGACAAGCACCTTCTAACAATTGGATTTTTAAATGCAAAAAAAGAACTGCATTAGCTAAGACAATTTTGAAAGCAAACCAAGGGCTGGCTGTGGGGCTCATGGATAAAACATTTGCCTACCATGTGTAAAACCCTTGTTCAATCCCTAGTCCTTGAAACTGTAAAAGAAGAGATTATATATTTGACTCTATAAAAATGCAAAACTTCTGCTTCCCAGAAGACATCTTTACAAGAGTAAGAAGGCCAGTCACAGACTTGGGAAAAATAGCTGAGTAATTGCCAACAAAAGTCTTCTATCTAGGCAATAGGAAGAATGCTTATAACTTGATGATGATGCAGGCAAATTTTAAAAACAGACAAAATGTTTGGGCAGAAGCTTTAACAAGGAAGACACATGGGCAGCAGATAGCCACATGACAAGATGCTCAACGTTAGGAAAATGCAAATGGAAGCCACAGCACAGCCACCACACACCACAAGGATAGCGAAGCCTGAAACCCCCAAGTGTTGAGGAGAACATGGAGGTTCTATACAGACTCGAAATAGAACAACCACTTTGTAAAAGGGTGTGGCAACTTCTTAAAAAGTTTAACATCCAGGACTAGGAGCATAGCTCTATGGCAGAGCACTTGACTCGCATGTGCAAGGTTTTACCATATGGGCAGCAAAGCAAATCAGCATCCATCTACCATAGGTCTCACCCCCAATCTGGAGTATCCATGAAGAGAAACTGGGGTGCGTGCCATGCAGTGCTTTGTACTCATGTGTTTATAATAGCTTTGTTTGTAATTATCAAGAGCTAGATGGGGCCGGGGAGATGGCTCAGTGGAATGAGCACTTCCCTGGCAAGCACAAGGGCCAGAGTTCAATCCCCGGTTCCACCAAAAAGAAAAGAAAAGACAAAAAGAGCTAGAATCAACCCAAATAAAGAGGAAGAGGTAAACAAGATTCAATATAACCATCAATGGCATGCTGTTTATGTAAAACATATGTTTGCATAAAATCTCAGAAAATGCAAACTAATCTACAGTGATAGAAAGTGGATCAGTGTTTTCCCGAGTGGGGGAGGAGAGAGAGAGAAAGAAGCAAAGTAAGACTTGGAGAAGTGCGTGCTATTGTTGCCAGTCAGCCTAGGGTTCTTTTGCTCAATTCAGATGGAAATTGTGAATGGGCAAAGTGTAGCTCTGCTAGCAGTCCTCATGTCACCAAATGACAACAGATAATGCTACATGCCTGCACTTGACACAGCCAGCTGCTGGCCCTTGCTGCTACTGGCCACGGCCAGCAGGCCAGCTCTACCAGATGCTGATCTTCATTGACTGCTGGTCTCTGGAGTTCTTCAGTACAAACAGCCCTAGTATCTATTGCCCTTTCTTTTGAGTCAATCATTCCGTACACATTATTCAGAATAAGAATCCCAAGTAGATTCACAAGACATCTGGAGTCCACACTACCTCAGAAGTAAATCACAAGCAGGCTTACAAGACCAATAAAGTGAATATTT